TCTCCGCAGCACCCACAACCACAACATCGAAATGCCGAAACTGCTCAGCTAGTAGCCGAAGGCGACCAGCTATATGCGCCCCGATGTATCTAGGACCATAATTTTGCTCATTGCTGCTCATCTTCTTGCCGAGGTACTTGATCTTCCTGGGCTGCAGCAGTGCCGGCGCATTAGCACATCCGAATCTAAGTTCTGGCCGAGATGACGGATCTGGCCCCTGAGAACTCTTCAGCGTGAAAAGGTCCGGCACATGTCCAACGCATCTTCGCATTGGTGGGTAATCGCTTTGGAAACTTGGGCCAGCGATGATCATGCCACCCTCCCCTATGATCGGATACTGTGGTCTTCCACTGCTCGGCATAAGCGGCCTCCACGCCCGCGAAGCCGACGGCGGATCCTGTAAGAGAGGAAGCCACGGACACGCAATGGCATTCTCTAATATGCCCATGCCCACAAGTGCTGCAAGTGTGTCTACGCATTCGTTAACAAGACGCTGTGCACGTGCATGAACACGGTTGACTACGGCAGTGCGCTTGTGCATGAACACGTGAAATACATAACGCACGCATGATGACAGTCCTGCCAACGGCGGCATGCCCCGCGCACCTTGCGCTGCGTTCATGACGACAACGCTATCGAGGTAGAAATGGAACTGTACATCTGTGTAAACGGAGGCTGGAGCGCCCATGACTTTGCCCACGTTAAAGCCAGGGCCTCTGGCACCAAGCTCAGCTGCGAGGGCGAAACACAGAAGTCGCCGCGGAGAAAGAAGCCTGCATGATCGACGAAATGCAACTAATCCCACCAGCCCTCTGGGCGTAGGTGGTTTCGGGAGTTTCCTCCTCCACCTTCCCTTCCTCCCCTTCGAGGGGGGGGGGGGGGCTACCCCCCCCCCCCCCCGCCCCCTGGACCTGGGCGGGGGGTCTCGCCGGTAGTTGGAGCGTCCAAAACGGCCTCGGCGAGGAAGCCAACATCATCGGTTTTACCGAGGTTTTGGCTTATTTTAGAAGCTCCCGAGGGGGGGGCGCCAACTGGGGGACCCCCTTTCTTTGATCGATCACCTCCAAAATGGCCCCAAGAGCGCCCCCAAGGCCCCCAAGAGCGCCCCAAGAGGACCTCAAGAGGCGCCCAGGAGGCCCCAAGAGGTCCAAGAGACCCTGAAGAGGCCCCCTAGACCCCCAAGAGGCCTCAAGAGGATCCCCGAGGCATCCAAGAATCCCCCAGGCGCTCCAAGAGGACTCCAAAACAACTTCCAAGGGACATCCTAGGAGGCTCTTGTGCACGTCATTGTTCTTGTTCCTTCTCATCTGTATCCTCCTCCTCCTCCTCCTCCTTGTCGGCCTACTCCTCCTCCTTCTCCTCCACTTTATCAGCCCCCACCTCCTCCTCCTCCTCCTTTCCTCTTCTCTTCCTCCCCCATCCTCCTCCTCCTCCTCCTCCTCCTCCTCCTCCTCCTCCTCCTCCTCCTCCTCCTCCCCCTCCTCCTCGTCATCCGCCTATTCCCCCTCCTCCCTCCTCCCTCCTCCCATTTTTCCCACCTGCTGCCCCCCCCCCCCTCCTCCTCCTCGTCCTCCTCCGACTCCTCCTCCATCCTCGCCCTCTTGGGTGAGACGGGCCCCCCAGCCCTTTGCTACTCTGCGCGCCCCCTCACTTCCCTCGCAATTCGCCTGGGCATCGTTTTTGGATGGGCTGGCGGGGAAGCGCGAAGCGTCAAGAATTGCCGCTTCCAGAAACAATGAGGACACAGAAAGGCCCAACGCGGTTTCACATCTGCGGGGGCGGAGAACCCACTTCCATCCGCACAGAATCCAATGCGTAGTATGTCTGAGAGATCCCGGTCCCAACCGGATAAGGACTGAAAGAACTGCGTCGTACAATCCAGAAGATGCGCTTGATTTTTTCGCCAATCAGCGTTGAGCACCTCCCCCCATGGACGGAGCGGCAAAAAACCTTGTCTGGGTTATCTACGTAAGCAGACTTGACCCCTCGAGACTTCTCGCGGGAATCATGTTCGGAGGGGTCGTGGCCGCTCATGTCCCTGTCTGATACTACCCCGGCGGCTCGTAGCTCTCCCGCAGGACCGCGTCGCCTATGTCGTCGGCGCCCGCTGGAGAAGCCGCCGCCGCCTCCACCGTAGTCTCCACGGCCTCCGCCGAACCGCCGTGCGCCAGTCCACTTCGGCATGAAGCTGGACTTCGCGTAGGGCGCCGCCGTGGTTGATGCTCTGGATCGTTTCTGTGAGCTCCACCGCGCTTGGGCGTCGCAACAGGATGCTGCCGCGCAACTCGTGGTTGCGTCGCTGGCAGCGCGAGGGGGGCGGCGGGGTCTTCCGCCGCCCTCGCCCTCCCCGCAGCCCCCACATGCGACGCGCCTCCACGCGGGGCCGACATCAGCGCTTCGTGTTTGTTCTTGACGGTGATGACTCGAGCATCGATGGCATTGACACTTGCGTCTATGTGAGACTGGAAGGCCGCGAGTGTCGTCGCAATATGTGCCAGCTGTCTTTGCATGATGGCTATATCTGACAACTGCTGCTGCTGCTGCCGCTGCGGAGCTAGGTGCTGCGGCCCCACGGGCAGGGGCGCGCTGGGAATCGCTGGTGCAGCCTCTCCTGGTGGCGCAGCCGAGCCAGTCACCTCGGCGTCCACGCCCGCTGCCGTCGAACGTAGCTTGTTCATGGCCTCGCGGTGTGATTCACCCCGCTCCACCGCAATATCTCTGTTGTCGCGCAGATATTGTTTTGCCTTTTTTTCCGATATTGTTGTCTATGTCCCGAAGTCTCACCTCCGATGTTCGATGAGCAGATCCCTGTCTGGACAACTGGTCTCTGTGAGGTCGACATAGATGGGTGGCAGTCAATACAACAGAGTATCATGACCGCTTTTCGTATGCCGTCTCTCCTGGCCATCCTTTGAGCCTAATCGTGCCCGCAAAAACTCTCAACTGCTGCCTGCACTCTGCGGCGAACGTCCTGCGATCTCTGGCCGACGCTGCTGGACCCAACTCGCCTGGGACATGTTAATGCAGTCGAGCCCCGGGCGGAAGAGCAGGGATGATGCTCGAAGGCCTCTGACTTTCGTCCCTGGATCCATCCTCCTCCTCGTCTACGAATGTCACTGAAGGTGGCCTCGAACGTTGTTGTCGTTTCGTGGGCGCCTGTCGGTCCTCCGCGTCCGTCTGAGTCGCAGGGCTCTGGACTGAACTTTTTCCAGGGCGGGTTTTGTCTCTTCTACGGGGGTCATTGGACTGCGTGCGTGTCTGATTGTTCTTTACCCACGGCTGTCTTCCGAAAGTGTCCGCAGTCTGAGCCGATCCGTACTCCGTCCTCGCAGTGCCACAATTTCTGCAAGTTTCCCTCCAAGAAGTTGGACGTGGCACACGACGCACAAAACCACGTGGAGGACGCAGAATGATGCTGATTGAGCAACCGTTTTGCCTTGATGACAATATACTCAGACAGTCTCGCCATGACACGGGCCTGAGCTCGTGCCTCCCGCTGTCGGCGACGCCAAGCGGGGTTGAACTTCTTCCGCCGATGTCCAGAAATCCTCGGCAGGCGCGGTCCGCCACTCTCGGCGGCCGACGCGCTGGCTCCGAACACTGGTACAGTATATGGAGTGGATATGCTGTGCCCTCAAAGGGCAAGCGCCCCGCCTCGTCGCCACATGAGTAGCGGACCCAGACGGGAATTTGGATGGGGGGGCGCCGCGTTCGGGCCTAGGAGGAAGAGGAAAAGGAGGAGGAGGAGGAGGAGGAGGAGGAGGAGGTGGAAGAAGAGGAGGAGGAAAAAGAAGAGGAGGAGGAAAAGGAGGAGGAGGAAGACGAGGAGGAGGAGGAGGAGGAGGAGGAACGCCCGCTTCCGATGTGTCGTGGTCTGCAGGCATGGCGGACGAGGAGGCGGGGGCGGGGGCGGGGGCGGCACTCAGGGTGACCTCCAGCACTGTCATCGAATCGCGGAGGCCTCCAGATTGCACGTCGAGCAAGGCTGCGAGGGCGTCCTGGTCGGCCTGGTCCAGGACGGTGTGCGGTCCAGCGCGGATGCCAAGAGGACCATCTCCCGCAAGAAGGCGATCACCAGCAGGTTGTGCGTGATGCTCTTCTCCACGGGGCTCATCAACGGGGGGCTCAGGATGTCGATCGCCATGCGCATCACTCTCGCAATCCGAGCCAAACGGAGCAGCGATGGAGGCGAGGTCCGCTGAGCCCGGCATGTTGGACGGGCGACGTTCACCTGCATTTCGCCGAGGGTCTGCGCTCGGAGGCACGGCCGCAGCCCATGGGTCGCCCACACCAGTGTGCCATGGATCAGCGCCACGCTCCGGAAGCAGAGCACCAGAAAGAGCGGAACGATCTTCGGCACCTCCAGTATATCCAGGAGGTCACCGCGATCGGCAGCACAATACAATAAAGGGCAGCACCGTTTGGCTCAGGTTGGAGGACCAGCGCAAGGGGCTCCGCCGCCTGAATCCAGAAGGCCGTATCAACCTTGCCATCGGAGTACACATCGTGACCCCTGCCCACCACCACGCTGCAAATGATGCGGGCCGCCACCACCTAAAGGCACTGCATGGTGAGCTCACGCGTCAGTTCCAGTGCAGGGGCGCCGTGCGGCCACAGGATGCACTTAACCTTGCACCGCTGCGCGTCCAGGGCGGACCCAACGAGACGGGAACAAGGCACTCCCGCAGCCAGCTGTCCTCGGAACCAGTCGAGGCGGTAAAACGACGACCATCCTGGGCACGGACGGCCGCGGGGCGGGAGAGGGAGGGAGAAAGGGAGGGGAGGGGAGGGGAGGGGAGGGAGAGGGCGCCCGGGCGCGTCGGAAGCCCCGACCAGGCCAAGGCCTGAGCAAAGGGGAGGAGGGGAGGAGGGGAGGAGGAGGAGGAGGAGGAGGAGGAGGATGAGGAGGAGGAGGAGGAGGAGGAGGCACAAGGCGGCAGACAACTAGACGACGAGTGACATGGAGGCAGAGGAAGAAGATGATGATGATGATGAGGAGGAGGGGAAGGAGACAGGCAGCAGGGATCTTCAGAAAGCGTTGAAGTTGGACTCCCGATGCACCCCGAGTCCCAAGTCCAAAGAATTGTGTTCCCTCCTCCGAGGCCAGCTTCCGTCATCGCCCTACAGGTTGGAACCAGCCCACAGCCTCAGCGACTCGCCGCTGAGCTTGCTGATCGCCGCCCTGAGGCAGCAGGACGCGGGCAGGAGGGAGGGGACAACTTTTTCGAATCCGGTTTCATGCACTGTGTGAACTGGATTCTTCTGATTGCCAAATATGGGTTGGCATGCATCCAGACCTTGCTGGAATCCAACCAATGGAAGTTCTCAGCGCCTCCTCTACTCATAGCCAATCGTCGCCTACGCGTGCATAATTATCAACAGATGCGCTGGTGGGCACTCCTGTGCGAATGGTCCACTTGCACGTAAGCTAAACAAAAATGAGATGCGCCGAGGCAAGAATCTGGGAACGCATGCGGCCGCGCAACTGTAGTGTTCCGAGCAAAGGCACACCAGCAGTCTCGTTTCGTTCCTTGTACTCATCCACGAATGAAGGCGTCAGAGGAGATAGGAAAATGAGGGAGACTGCGAGTCAAATGCACCGTGCCGTGCAGACGTGGCAAGGGCCACACGAAGACCTCCAACAGGATCGGAAGAAAGCCAAATCATTGATTTGCAATAGGTTTTTGAATGATTTTCGCTTCCTTGCCTTTTCGGGCTGCCGTCAGCTCAAGACGGCCCAAGAGGCATCCAAGACGGCCCCAAGACGGCCCAAGAGGGCCTCCGTTGGACCCATGACGGGCTTCAAGGCCCTTCGAGGCCCAAGACGACCACACGACGGCCCCCAGACACCCACCGGCACGGCCACGAGGGCCGAAACGACGGCCCAAGAGAACCCCAAGCAGGCGTAAGAGGGCCCAGAGACTGTCCCAAGAGACCCCCAAGACTGCCTCACAGGATGCCAAGACAGCCCCAGGACGGCACAAACGAGTTTCACCATCATCATCATCATCATCATCCTCATCCTCATCATCATCATCATCATCATCATCATCATCACCATCATCATCCTCATGATCATCATGATCATCATGATCATCATCATCATCATCATCATCATCATCATCATCATCATCATCATCATCATCATCATCAGCAGCATCATATTCAGCATCATCATCATCAGCATCATCATCATAATTATCATCATCAACATCAGCATCAGCATCAGCATCATAATCACCATCACCACCACCATCATCATTATTAGCAGCAGCAGCAGCACCAACATCAGCATCAGCAGCGTCATCAGCATCATCACCACCATCACCACCATCACCATCATCAGCATCAGCAATAACATCAGCCGCATCATCATCAACAACATGATCAGCATCATCATCAGCAGCAGCATCATCATCGTCATCGTCATGATCCGTATGAGCATCGGCATCAACATCAACATCAGCATCAGCATCAGCAGCATCATCATCATCATCATCATCATCATCATCATCGCCATCACAATCACCATCATCAGCGTCACCAGCATAATTATCAGTAGCATGAGCATCAGCATCAGCATCAGCATCGTCATCATCATCGTCATCATCAGCAGCATCACCACCGTCATCATCATCATCATCATCATCATCAGCAGCATCATCACAATTACTATCACCATCACCATCATCATCACCATCAACATCATCAACATCATCAACATCATCATCATCATCATCATCATCATCATCATTATCCTCATCATACTCATGATCATCTTCATCATCAGCAGCAGTAGCATCGTCAGCCTCCATCCTCATCCCCATCATCCGCATCCGCATCCGCATCCGCATCCTCATCATCATCAGCAGGGTCAGCATCATCGTCATGATCCTCGTCCTCATCGTCATCATCACCATCACCACCATCATCATCATCATCAGCAGCAATATCATCATCAGCATCAGCATCATCACCATCATCATCACCATCACCAGCATCATCATCACCATCATCATCCTCATGATCATCATGATCATCATGATCATCATGGTGATGATGATGATGATGATGATGATGATGATGATGATCATCATCATCATCATCATCATCATCATCATCATCATCATTAGCATCATCATTGTCATAGCAATCATCATCACAATCGCTGATCATACGTAGTCATCAGACACGAAGTGCTACAAGTGACGGCCTCCCGTGCCCTGGAACAATTGCCACCCATAATGCTGGGCTGTCACGATGGCGGGACTTGCTGCAGGCAGCTGGAATATAACTTCTTGTAGAGATCTATGAAAACGGAACTTGGACGTAGGCATTATTGCAACATCGTTGATGCGTCTTGGGTTTACACTAGCCCTCCTCCTCCTCCTCCTCCTCCTCCTCCTCCTCCTACACCTCCTCCCTCAAACATCGACATCCTGGCAGCCGAGGAGGTTTGGTTGCGCCCCCAGCGTCTCTGTTGGAGGCCGGCTGGCGCGGCAGGGACAGCAAGAATATTCTCACCGATGAGCGGCGCAATTTGAAAAAACTAAGGTTTCAAGAGGGGGTCTCCAAAAGGGGGGGGCAAGGGCAAGGGGTTGCAGGAAAGGAGCCCTCTAGGGACCCCACAGGGGCTCTTTAGGGTCCCAGAGGTGCATTCTTTTTTCACCCCCTTTTTCAGAGACCCCCTCACAACCGATCGCCGCAAGGTCCCCCCGTCTCGTGCGCGGGGCTCATCTCGTCTTGGGCGACCGGCGCGGGCGCCGGGCAAGGCTCAGAAGACCCAAAGCACCTTGCTGCGGACGCTGCGGGCGGAGCCGACGCTGTCCGACCGGCAGAGGCTCCGCTTCGTGTCCATGTGCTGCTCCAGGGCCTCCACCAGCGGGCCGAACAGCTCCCGCTCCTCCACCGTCGCGCCCTCCTGCGAGGCGATCTTGTAGGCGTACCTCCTCGGGAAGAAGCGCTCCTTCGACTGGCGTATGTGGCGCAGCACCTGCTCCATGTGGCGCGCGCCGCTGCTGCCCGCGGCACCGCTCCCCTGGCGCAGGACCATCGAGTAGAGGCCGAGCACGGGCTCGACGAGAGCCTCCTTGTCGCAGGCGCCGTGGGTGTGCCCCTGCTGGCAGCAGGAGAACTCGCCCTCGAAGACGTACATCGACAGGGACGGGAGCCACTCCTCGGTGACGCGCTGCAGCTCGCCGCTCTCGGTGGACAGAACGAAGAAGTTCTCCAGCCCGCTGCTGCAGATCTTCGAGAGCATCTCGGCGCGGCACCACCCGCGGGAGTTGTACGAGTGCAGGTCCGCGTGGTCCTTCGACTGCACGTGCTTCGCGGGCGGCGCTACGATGATGAACACGTCCGCGCTGGACGCGTAGACGGGCAACGAGGACACGGCGAGTGTCTGCATGCCACGGTGCTCCTGGGCGATGCTGCAATAGTCCACCCACACGTGCACGTTCTTCCACGCTCCCCTCGCCCCCGTGGCAATCATCTGGTGCGCGGCGGTCCTGACGGCGCTCTTCATCGCCTTCAACTGCGTCTGGTGCTCGTCGTCCGGAAAGCCCCAGCCCAACCACTGATGAGAGAGGAAGATGACGGAGCGGTTCGTCTTGAACCTCGCGAGATCCTCCTCGGTGTCGAGGAACTCCAGCTTGCCCTCGTTGCGCAGCTTCTCGTAGCTGGTGAGCTCCTGCATCTGCATGAACTCGTCCGCGCTAACCAAGACCATCGGATGCGTCAGCTTGCCCGCGCCCTGCACCGCCCTCTCCACCGTGTGCTGGATCCGCTGGGCACGCTCCCCCTCCAGCAGCGTGCGCCTCTCGATCTCCTTGGTACGCCATTTCTTCAGGGCGCTGGCAGCGTGCAGAAAACTCCGGCGCAGGTCGCTGGCCTCCGTGAACAGCGGACGGCTGCAGCAGCCGCCCCCCTCGGTGTAGGCCGAGATCGCATCGTCGATCTTCATGTCGCTGAGTAAAAACATGTTGTCACGGGCCTTCCGCAGCGGCACCGTCACCTGCCGCGACAGGATGACGAACAGCAGGATGGCCCCAAACATGATCGCCAGCCCGATCCAAATGAGCGTGACGTTGATTTCCTCGATGCGGCCCGTGATGGCCTCGACGTCCACCAGGTCCACGAGCAGCAGGCCCAGGCCGGCGGCGAGCGGGTCGTCGATCGGCTTGGCGACGACGGCGTAGTTTCCAATGTACTGCAGCGCCACCACCTGACTCCAGTCGCAGTCGAGTTCGCCATCGTCGCTGGCGGAGCAGTGGTTCTGTATGAAGACTTTGGCCACTGGCTGGATGGGTGCCATCACGGCCACCTCGTCGTCGCCCATCAGCAGCTCGTCGAACTCGTCAACGATTTTCTGGCCCTCCAGCGAACTCGCAAGCAGCTCGCCCAGCCTGGTGAGGATGAAGATGACGGTGCTGTCGCGCGAAGCGGCCGCGACCTTCCTGATCATTGTCTGCAATGTTGCCTCTCCGCCGCTGGAGAAAGACTCGTCCTCCACCCTTATGTTCACGCGCCCCCAGGCGCTCTGCGGGGCCCAGGAAGGGCCTGGCAACCGGAAGACGACGGCCTTGCGCACCGCTTCTCCCGCGCGTCTCACCAGCGTGTTCCGCTGCCACTGCGGCGCCAGCAGCCCCGAGTCCATGGCACCGCCTCCCCAGGTCCCTGTCAGCAAATCCTACCAGCCCTGTAGGGCGCGAGAGGTTTCGGGCGTTTCCTCTTCCAGCCCTCTTTTCGCACCTTTTGGGGCGACCACTCTCCAAGGCGACCAGCAGCCAACCAGGACCAATGCCACCCCCCATCCAACCACCCCTGTCAAAAACCAAACAAAATACACTTTGGGACAAAACCTTGGGTCATTCATGCTCGCGGGCCCCGCGAGCACGTTGTACAGTATTGTTTGTTGACAGGGACGGCGGGGGGGGCCTCATATTGCCTGCTGCGAGCAATGCCTCCATCCATGCGAAAGCTACAAAACGCACTTCGCGGCTAAATCTGGACCGTGCGCGGCCACCCCGAGATCAATGTCTGTTGGTTTTTGACAAGGGCGGTGGGGATGCTGGCACGTTGCTTGCTGTGTGCAGGCCCATTAGACATCATGACGGCCTCCCCACCGCCAGTGTACACTGGTGTTCGACAAGGATGGTGAGGGCGACATGTTTCCCGATGTGTGCTTTCACGTGCTCAGGAGCACCTGGCACTTCTGCGCGCGTCCCAGACGTGGCGCACCTGGCGTGGCTGGACCATGCGGCACACAGAGCGCACGTGGAACACGTTGCGCATTTGGCGCGCCAAGCGTGCCTGGCACGCTTGGGTCCCAAGGGAGCATGACGCATATGGCGCGCCTGGTACGCGTGGCGCACCTCGCCCCAACGTCGCGCACGTGGGTTTTTTAATTGCCAATAGCTGCCCGTCCACGGACGACCGTTGAACGTGCTGAGGCTCGGGTGCTACTTCTGTGCTGGGCAAGCGGGCTGGAGTGAACGAGACAGCTTGCGGGCGGGGAAACTGTCTTGACCCCTCCCCCTTTCCCAAGTCCCCCTGGGTCTGGGCGGGGCGTTCCGCGAGGTGTCCAAAGCTTTTCTGCTGCCTCGGCGAGGAGGCCACAATCAGCGATGTTACTAAAATGTTGGCCACAGCTTGGCATCCGGAGGGGGCGTCGCTAAGTGAGCACGGCGCGTCGTTTGATCGATCTCTTCCAAGATGGCCCCAAGACGGCCCCGAGGATCCCGAGGGTGCTCCAAGACGGTTCCAAGAGGTGCCTAGGAGGAGAAAGAGACCCCAAGAGGCGTTCAAGAGACCCCCAATCTGTCCCCAAAAGGCTCGTCAGAGACCCCCAGAAGGCTCCCAGAGGCTTCACAGAGGCACTCGATACGCTTCAAGCAGCCTCGGACAAAAGACAGGTTTCAGTTATTTCGCCAAGGTTTGGGCCCCGCGCTGGCCTCCTGAAGGGAGGAAAAGAAGGACCCCCCCGCTCCCCTTTGGTTGATCTCGCCCAACGCGGCGCCAGGATGGCCCTCGAGGCCCCCTGGGGCGCCCCAAGACGGCCCGAAGAGGTGTCCAGGAGGCCCCAAGAGACCCCCAAGAGGCCCCCCGTCGAAAAATGCATGGCCAGCCGCACCATACATTACGCCTTAGGAGTGCGATCGCATCACCAAGTTCATCCATGCAGTGGGCATAGACAAGTGGATGTGAGACACAGCATGGAATAGGAGGGCGCATCGTCGAAAGGTCTGCCTTTGTTTCCGTTGCCCGGCCGCTACTATCTCGAGAACGAGGACGTCATATTCTTTAGGCGCGCGCCGCTTGAGCCAAGCGGTGGCGGGCGCGGGCGCGTCGCTCGCAGGCGCGCCTTCAACCCCAGTGTAAAGTCAGGAGGGGAGGGGAAGGATCGAGCGACGAGCCGCGTCGAGATTGAACGTGTTAGGCACTGCAGCAGAAGGCCAGCCACGGGAAGCCCCACCGCGAAGCTGGCGCAACATCGCGCGCACAGATGGTGACCTCGCTGCTCCAGGTGAGCAGCGAATCCGCCCAAATCCAAATGTGGATGGGTGTCCGGAGATACCTTCAGGCACCAAAGTTTGCAACGCCAAAAGCCCGTGGCCAAGTTGCAATAGGCGCGTGGCCACGCTGGCTCCGTTGCCTCATCCGCCAACCCAATGGGAGCCAGGCTCAGAAGATGCTGCCTGATTGGCTCTGTGCGGTGCGTAGCGCCTCACCTCGTGCTTGAATGACTGAATGCCCGCCATCACTTGTGGGAGTAACTCACGGACCATACAGCCTTTGGTTTGCCACTCGGCCGTCGCCGCACGCGCATCACAACTGCACGCTATGCACGACACCTCCTCCCATCATGTGCCGAATCCAGCTGATGTGGCCAAGATGGGTGCACTCAATGGGCTTCTCGGGGTCCTCACTAGATAGGAGCTTGAAGACGGATGCGGCATCAACGGTAAATAATGTAATTACGCCTGGACCACCGACTTCTCATACGTTGTTGAATTGTGCCGGAGTAAGTGGTCAGCCTTGGGCTCGTGTAGCGCGGCGACGGTTCGGCCGCGGTCCTCCAAAATGCGGGCGGCTGCGAGGGTCTCAGCGGAATAACTAGAGCGTGCCTGTACCCGCTGTGGTTTACCAGACGCATCCAGAAGATGAGCACCTTTTTCCGCTGCATGTGTCCACGCGGTAGTGCGCTGGCACCGCGGACGCCGTGCACCTTGACCTCGCCTGGTCGTCGGCATCGCCGTTGAGGCGGCGATAGCTGGAGTGGCCATGTAGGGCCATCTCTCCTGTCGGAGTAATTATTTGGTGTCTAACTTTTGTTTGGCCTGTTGTAACTTGCGCGTTGCGGCGCTGCGTCGAGGCGCGCGTGCGTCGGTCGTTTCCTGGACACGTTACAGGCGCATGCATTCGCGCAGCGAGAGCAGATGGACATATCTGACACAATTGTCTTTCTCCTGCTTCGGCCCCGGTCAGTTCTAAATATCGATTAGGGCGAAGCATGTCTCGTGTATCCGTCTTGGCCAAGCTGGACGCGGCCGCCCTCGGTCTCGGCGCATCGTGCGGCGCAATGCGTTTAGCTGTGGTTGTTGAGCTTACAAGCGCCAAAAGTGAATTCTACACATGCGACGTGCCTGTCACTGGCGTCCTCGGCCCATGCCACATGCATGTCGTTTGCAAGATTGGCTGCAAGGAAGTTAGGGATTGCCTCGAACCCCTCGCCGTAGGAAGTTGGTATGGGACCAAAGCCCCGCTTGATGCACTTGAATTTCAGCGGGAACGCCCGAAGGGCGTCTTTGGTGCCCGTTCCTGGTCTAGGCACTGCTGACATTGTCGTGAATCACCATGATGCGCCAAGTCCGGCAGTGTTCTTAGCACCGGCGCTGAGCCAGGTGGCGGCGCGAAGCAAGCCGTGCGTTCTTCCCCGCCAGCGGCTGCAACCGATTCGCGAAACGCTAGGCGCTTGAAGACAGCTGCCCATGCCAATGGGCGCAATGATCCAGGGCGCAGTGGGCGCGGCCGTGAATGCGAGCAGCCCCTCGCTAAACCGCCTAGCGATGCCCGAAAAAAGGTCTCCACGTCGATGGCATCGCCATCCATGGACCCGCGAAATACTAAGCGTAGTCTGATAATGCGATCCATATCTTCCTTTATCAAGGGAGCACAAAACCGGGTAACGCCTAAGCGGGGTAACAGACCCACCATGGGATCCAGGTGGGAAAATTGCAACGACCTGCGCAAACAAATCCACTGCATTTTTCTGCAACGCAAAAAAAAACTGCACTGCAATTTGCGGGCAACTAATTGCGGAAAAACTGCAAACAAGCCCCACAGACCGGGTAACAGAGGGCCCAAAGCAAAAAGTTGCAGTGCGGCAGCCGAAAATGCGCAACGCAGCCAGCATGTGGAAGGTGCTGCATCGAACGCGAAAGCAATCCCGTCCCTGGCTCCCTGACTTTTTTATCCACGGACTTCCGGTTGCTCGCTTATCTCGACGATTCGGTGTTCGACTCGTTCTTGATTTCCTGCAGCAGAAGAAATTACTGCCGAATGGCGTCTTGAGTTCCGCGAGCAGATCTGAATAGCTTGACAGGGTTCGCCTGCGTTCCAGCCTTCGTGAAGAGGTCGTTTTCCAGGACGACGACGGCTCTATTTGATGCAGTAGACGCGCGCGCATCGAAATTATCTGGCCGTCGTCGAATACCGCGCGCCGGTGTTCCGCCGCGACAACTTTGGACATGTCAATGGCACAACGAAGCTGTGCATGCTGACCGTGTTCGTCCGAATGCAGAGTGCAAATCTCGTCGTGTCCGGTTGTATGCACGAGGGCCGAATGCGCCTCCTGCGTCGTCTTAACGGCGGCCCCGTTTCGGAAAGTTCGCTTGTTGTTCACTGGCGACAGTCACATCCGCATTCTTTTCGGTCATCATCTCGATGGATACTGTAGATAAGGATCATAATGGAGTGCCCCCTGAAGTATTGTTCCCCTCGTAGTTCGATGCGCCATGCCCCCGAGATGCGCGCCTCGAGGTAGGCCCCGTGAGCAGCAAAAGGCGATCGTGGTTGTCCCTCCTGAGCGCGCCCGCTCGACGGCGGCGCGCCCGCCGGGCCCTCGACCTCGGTCAGGTCTTCGTCGAAGCCTGCCAATGGCAGTGACTCTATGAGGACTCCCAGGGAGTCCTCAATGAGGACTTCCAGGCGCTAGATGACTCGCGCGTGTGTGGATCCAGTGATATCGTGTATATTCAGGGCTGTTCCTTCGATTTCGTAGTAACGGGGTCCTGGAGTGGCGTCGTTGTCTTAATGCGCCCGAGTGCAACTGTCGGCGCGCGGCGCTGCGGGGGTAGCCTGTGGGCGCTTAGCTAGGCACGCGGTCGCCACGATTGCGATCCGGAAGTAGCTCCTGATGAAACACTGCAAGTGTAAACATACCTTTGGCGAGAATCTGCTCGCCGTGGTCATCTGCAGGTGTTCCTGCTCGGAGAGCAAGTAGTCGAACGCCGCGTTAGGTTTCCCAGCGGGCAGGTTCGCCATGGAGGCAGGCATTGCGCAAGTGGCCGTCGTGTCGGAGCCAATCTCGCGGACGATGAATGCTTCTACGTATAGAGTGCCACGTAGGTCAGGATATTGCACCAGAGCTTCTCGGTCGCCGACTTCAATTGCATCCTGGCCTCGGTC